ACATTACTACTTACATTATGGTATATGTTCTTAAATGTATAGTGGAGGATGTTCATGAATCTTTGAAAAGACCCGCCCTCTCAACTTAAAAACAAAACGCACATGCACAACCCTGTACCCACTCCTGAGAGGAAACACCTATAAACGTCGGCGTGTGCATGCATGAGCCCATCTCTCCGTGCCCAAACTCTGCTTAAAATCACTGATTTACAAATTTACGACTACCGGTATGTCAGACTCACCACCAGTAAGTGAAAATGGGGACAAGCACGTAGGACGGCCTTACATAAACTTATCACTGAAATGATTGACAATTAGGAGGACCACTTATTTTGATGATCCACCAGGAAAAAGAAAATCCTAAACTATACCTTTAAGATAAGTGTTGTTTGCATATTTTTGCTATTATTGACTTGAGATTCTTGTGTTATTTATTTTGCACATTTATTTGATTAGCATCTGTTATTCTATTCAGATAGCATGTCCCATGGTGAGATTGAACAAGGTGCTTTTTCCAACTTTAATTTATTTCATTCCTTCAATTATTTGTGATTTTCTATCCTGGTGGTATGAAAAATGCGATCAAATAGTGTCTACAACATCTAGAAATTAATTCTCACTTAAAAATATTATCTAAAATAACATGTTTGGGCTTACAGTCTAAAGCAAAAGAAAAACTTCTTATTTGAGAACACTGGAAGTGAGAATCTACAGAATCTACCTCTCCTTGTGTTAGCTCTTCACCTGCCAGATTCTATCCTTGTGTCAATTTATTTAACATCTTTTGAGGTGTAAATTAAATAACTCAATTGACTAAACATTTATCTGATCCAGGGATTGTTTCTTCCTTTAACATTTTGCTGTCAGTTCATGGACTGTGTAAATTATGGGCAGAGAAATTGTCACACCATTGCAACAATGCAAAGCATGTCTTACTTTTTCCTCTTCTTTCTTTACAACAATCCCCTGGATATTGCTTTTTCCTCCTTTGTTTTTTTTTCTTTTTTTTGTTCAACCCACGCCAAAATCCAACTCAAGGTTTAGTTCTTCAAGCTTGTCTCTGTTCTCCAGATGGAAGGCATTTTCCAGGCATTTGTACTTGTTTATTTATTAGTGTTAAATTCAGAGTCCCTCAGAGGACAGTAGCCAGCTGTTGCATTTTGGCTTCGCTCCATGGAGACCAGGAGGACTGTTATCCTCTTGATCACTTGGCTGTCACTCTGTTCCTCTTTCCTTGTTTGCAATTTGTGCACAAGAATCACGTAAAGACCATTTTTTAGTTCTAAACCCTAAAAATAATTGCCCGTGTTGTATATACCGGTAGTTACAATCCTAGCAAAGGAGAAATATTCCTGTTCACATATACGACTTATAAATTTAGCTTTGGGTATTTTTTTCTATATCATTTACAACCATATGTATTAACAATGTATCTATATTTCAAACCTTAAATACCACTTCCTTATTGATAAATATTGATATGCCCTCTAATGAAATTACCTTCTAATGATATCACCTTCTTAAGATATTACACTCTTATCAGGTAGTTTTAATGCTCCACAGTAAGCAATAGCATATTTTTCAGTGATTTATTCTGAGTGAGTTAAATTCCTTCATACTGCCTTCTAAAGCTCTGCAATGCATCTGGAGCCTTTTCACATTTGATCATATTACCACCTTAAACATCACTGTATTATCTTTTATATATTTATTTAATTTATTGTATTATATTTTGGATGGGTGGTGGTGGAGATGGGGGCTAAAAAAACATATAATTTTGAAATTTACACTTTCAAGAAAACTCTTAAAAGTGTGGAATCCATTTGCAATAAAATGTTCTCATCCTTTTGTAGAAAGTGAAATTTGGCTAATATTCATGTCTAAGAGCTCAAGCTTAGCTTAAATGGATGAAACAATGATTGGGATGAGGTTTGTAGGTTGGGTTAGGGTTAGATTGCAGACTGCTTATGACTTTCTATCCAAAATGTGCCAAAGTTGATAATCCTCCAATTTAACCTTCATGATTTTGGACTGTGGGAGAAAGAGAGGACTCACACATGCAGGGAGAACATGCAAACACCATGCAGAAAGACCTCAGGCCAGGTATCAAACATGCATGCTGTAAAGCCTTTCACCCATAGAATGCTGTAAATCACCACCATTTCCCTATAACTGACTAGGTGATCTCTGAATCCAGTTGGTTGTGCTTGTTTTTATTTAGGGATAGAATAATAATGATGACTAATAATAAGGTAATGCCACACTCTTCAGATTATAATGTATGACAGTGTTGAAATCCATGTATAATTTTTTTCTATTTTACAATTATACACCACTTTGTGTCATATTGTCACATAAATCCCCTCAAAACATGTTTTTTTTATATATACATATATATGTAACACTAACAATGATAGAACAATAGGCTATTTTATTTTTTGTTTGTTTTGTTTTTTTATTGCTAACTTCCAGGTTGCATGCATAAGTGCCTCAATTAGGTGTGTTCTTAATGGGTGTCTGACCTACACTCACCTGTCCGTTCTTCTTTAGGTCAGCCCACATGCTTGTCCCATCACCCCCTCTCATCAGAACATGGTAGGTGAAGTAGTAGATCCCCGGCAGAGGACAGGTGAACTTGCCTGTGCTCGGCTCATAGTAGTTCCCCACATTGGTTACCACATCATCAAACTTTAGTATTTCGCTCCCCTCATGCTGCTTCCGGAGACCGGCATAGAAGGCGATTTTAGGAGTGTAGACTGAGGACCCATATCCACCTGGACCAGGACCCGGTGGACCAGGCGGACCAGGCTTACCAGGCTCCCCAGGTGGACCTTTGGGGCCTGGGGGACCAGGAAGTCCAGGGCTTCCTCTAAACCCTTGTTTGCCCCTCCGGTTTGTGAGGTCTGGGGGCTGTGGGGAGACTGCAGTCAGCTCTCCCTGAGGGGGGCTCAAAGTGTCACACACCATCTTGCAGCTCCCTAGCATCTCATAATGTGTGCCACCAGCTCCGGATCCTGCCCCCTTTGTGGTATGTACCAATAAGGGAATGGCCACAAGCAGGACCAGGACCATGGCCACGCCGACTCCAGCCCCAATGACGCGTTTCTTGCGGCTGAGCCGTGAGGCAGCCAGTGTGAGGAAGTCCTCCTCCCCTTTGGCGGGAATGGTTGTGCCGGCCAGGCTGACCTCTGGGCAGAAAGCTATTCAAAGTGGAAAGTGTCAGAGAGAATTGTTGATTTTTGTCTGATAGAGATATAAAAAAAAAAACAATGTCTTTTCAGGTTTTCTAACAGTTACAGGTGAGTAAAGGAATATCAGTGTTCAGAGGGAGGGGAATGACAGATTCCCCATTTGTCGATCCTTTTTTTAATATATCTTTTCACATGATCTGGTAACTTTTATCTAATCTAAAGGGATACATCACGTAAGGAGGGAATATTTTTAACTATTTTGTAGAAGGTTCACAGCTGCAAAGATGTTAACCTCAAGGGTTAATTTTTTTTTTTCCAAATCTACGGTTGTGGAAGATCCAAGGAAAAATCCTTCAGTTTCTCAGACAGAGAGGAGCTGTCAGGTGGGGTCTTCAGAATTCCCACTGGAGTTCATCTCACCCTCTGCATTCAGGGAGAGGCGTTTCGCTTGTCTGTCTGTGAACAAGAAGAGAAGAACAAGGAAATTGCTAAATATTCGCTTTTTTCTTTGTTTAAGAAATCTGATCTTGCATTCATGCCAAAGATTTATAAAACAACAAATGGTTTAAAAAAATAAGAGGTTAGATCTAAGAAAAGGAAAATGAACATCTTATTGCATGCATCAAGGTGATGAATTTCCTCTCAACTTTACAAATGCAGAAAATAATGCTATATATTGTAACAGTTCATCATAAAAGAGGGTTAAATCTTAAGATTAAGAAATTGATAATCTTTTTTTAAAACCTTAGAATGAGGAAATAATTTCAAATTTGCTACAGAGCAAGTATCTGTCATAACTTTAAAAAGAATGCTGATAGAGCAAGAAGACACTCATGAACTCAAGAATTAGCCCTCATTATAATCAACACAATGCACATGGTTGACAACTGAAAATTTACTTATGTTTAGTACGTTTTCTAAATTTAAAATAGACATGAAAGTTTTCATTTAACATAGATTAATAATGGTTTCATTTTTAACATTATGCTTCCTTAAACGGGATTTTTTTTTGTAATAATAATAATAATAAGAAGAAGAAATAAGAATCATTATTTTTATAATATATATAAGCAGCAGCTCGTAATATTGTAGTATCATAAAATTGTGTGCTATTGCGTATCTACCTTTAACCAAAGTGGATCCATAGTAATTTGAAGGAAAACTTTTTTTTTTTTTTAAAGCCTCGCAAAAAATAAATAAATAAAAATCCGGAACTTACCAGAACTTCCTTTATATCCTTTTTTTTTTCCTCTCCCGGTATTTTCAGCCCGGAGTTCGGTGTGTGTTCATTCTGCAGGTTTCCGATGAAAAACGTCGCTTCTGCTCCAAACCAGGCGGAAAGAAATCCTGAGGAAAACTGCGCGCCTCTCCTGGCGCATCGGTGGGAAGTTACGGTCCAAACTCAGCTTTACGGTCCAATTTCAACTTTAACCATCTCGCCAGAAGGATTCACTCTGAATCCAAACTCGAAAACGGTCCGAAACAGACAGAGGAAAATTGTGTATAGTTCTTTAAACAGACATAGAAGTGCTTTACGGGCTCTGACAAGTCACTTTTCCAGACTTTGGCTGTGCTTAAATGCAGGCGCACGGTCAGTTTATTAGCAGAGCAACAGTTCAGTCACTTGTTGTGTTTTCTGCCCTGCTTCTCTCTCCTCAGCATCATCTGCCTGCTGTCCTCCTCCCCCCAACATGGAACACGCGCTCTCTCACACACGCAGATACATCATCACAGCCTGCATGTGACCTTTTCTCAAATCAAATAACGTCAATTAATTCTATAATCACTTTTTTCATTTCTCTTTACATTTCATTTTGGGTAAATTTACCCTTTTTTTGCTTTACTTATTTAAACCTATTGTGTTTTTGTTTTTTTTGGGTGGGGAGGGGTGATATCTATGCTTAAATGTGTTTTAACCATATCTTTGTGTGTTAGAGAGCTTGATATTATACAATAAACGGATTCTGATATGATACAGAAATACAGCTGTTTGACTGTTGTTAAATATTTACAGTTTTTTATTATTGTTCAATGTGCCTAATGAAAAAACGTATTTACAACTTATTTTATTCTTCGAAAAAAAATGTTGGTTTTGTTTTTTTGAGGTTACAGATACCTGAAATTTCTTTCCTTCTTTCCTCAAGCTAGTTTCCTCAGAGTCATAAAAAAAAAAAAAAAAAAAATTTGGCTTCTCCAGCCTCTTTTGCTTAAAGAGCATTGTTATCCCGGTTAGCATCGTCATATTCAATGTGACTGCATCCAGTTTCCTTATATATAGTTATGTTTATAGGTAGGTTCCTGAACAGCCCTTATTTCATTAAAAAAAGATTTTCAACACATTCTGTTTGGGTCTTCCAGTCATCTACTGCCTAACAAAATAAAGAAATCCCAATGTGTTACTCGCTAAACACAATTTGTTCCAAAAGAATATAAGTTGTCTATCAACAAACATTATTTTTTTTCATTTACCTGCTGATTTCTTCATGTATTCATTCTGAAGCAACTCAAGAAGAAGTTGATATTTACATTACATTAAAGGCATACAAGGGTAAAGTATATTATTTCTTTCGCATTTTAACAATCAAACCCTTCATTTTATCACATGCAATGAGCTTCAGGTTAGAAGGCCTCCTTGTCATCGTCCTAAAATAGCTCCCTCTGCAGATAATTAACAAATCCAATTAAGGACTGTGGCTTTGTCACTTTAAAATATTGCTTTTATTTCAGTTCAGAAAAATCTTGTTGGTTAAAATAAAAGATTTCTTTGGATCTTTATCTACCAGGGATGTAAATATTTTTGATATTAAATGCAAGAAAGCAGCTTTTTGAGCCTCTATTCTAGTATTCACTATAAATGAAAGTAAAAAAAATGAACAGGCTATATATATACGATCTCAACGTTGGTATTTTTTTATGCAAAGCATTGGTCAACTATATTAAGACTGTTTAAATCTAACATTTTCAAACAGTTAAGGTTTGATTTTTTCTTTTTTTCTAAAGATCAGCATGTAGGCTCCTTCAGTTCACCCTGCAGATGATAATTTATTTAAATCTTGATTAGCTTAAAAGAATCCAGTAAAGTTAAAGTGCAGGTGGTAGTGGAGATAAAGATCAGCACATGGGAAAATACTGAGATGCACAAAGCTGGTTTACGTGCAAGCAGGTGAAGACATGACAAAAAGAAAGGAGTGGTTGTTTTTAAGATATGCCATCAATTTCAGTGTTTTTTAGGTTTCAGACCTCATTTAGGAAGAAAGATATATCAATAGTGGCAACTCCTCCTCCTCCTCTTCTTCTCCATCCCTCTACATGGTCTCTTTCTTATTGTCTCCCTCTGCCTGATGTTACATTTAGTTCTACAATAATTAATCCTCAGAGTGGACATTGTTCCATGTTGTCCTTTTGGTAACTATGGCATGCAATCTGTGGTTTATGTTTTATCAGTGTGTACACAGCTAATAAAAACTACCTTGTAGAAATATTTCTCCCTTTTAGATCTATTCATATTTTTCAACCTGTAACCATGAAACCCGGGCGCCGCACAAAGGCAGCCAACTGCCATTTCATTGCTCTGTACTTGTGGACCAGGACCAATAAATTGATTCTGATTCTTTTGCCTGAGCAATGAATATTTGCAGCTCCTCCAGAGCTGTCAGCTGCTCTATTCACTGTGTATCTTGGTCTTTATGATGCTCTTTGTTCACCATTGTTCTCTAACAAACAATTCGTGAACATGTTTAACAAACATGTTTAACAAATAGGTGATAATTAAAGGAGGTTGGTTGCATTTAACTTTATTTGGGGTTATTAGAGTTATATATCTGAATAAAAAGGGAAACAATTCATAATTGTGTTTCTGTTTCACGTTATAACTCTCCAAATGCTTGGGATTTATAATGCATTAAATCCACAACCCAAATGAAAGTACAACAATTTGAGATCTTAGCATCAGAGAAATTGCAAACGTTTTGAAGGTATAAATAGTTTTTTTATAAACCCCATAAATATTACATAAAATACAACTGCTTAGCTAAATCTTACTTCCTAGGTGTAAATATTGGTCATTTACACAAAAAGAAACCAGCAAAACATTTAGTTGTAGCATACGTGTATGCTCTGTCAGTTCTGCTCCTTACTTATTCATCTTTCAACTTTACTGAGCTGGAGAGTGCAGCAGATATTGAATATGGATCAATAGATCACTCCCCAGGATGCATACTGTCAGCCGACCGAGCCCTCAGGCAGATGCCAAGCCTCTGGTCACATTTGCATTTGGAGATAGAAAATAACTACTGCTTTTCAGAAAGAGGGAAACTGTGTGGTCCCTGTTTCTTTTATTTATTCTCTATTTATTTTACAAAACTAGAAAATGAAACCTATATAAGGTGCAAGATGTATTGTACTCATGAGTATGACATTCTTCAAGTTAACCCTCTGCTTGAAAATATGGATATGTGTCTGGGTTTGTCTTTGCCTCCTTAGGCACTCTTATACACATATACTATGCATGTGGCTTACATATGGTGGTTAAACACTAAGAGGTTCCCTGAATTTAAATCATAATTGCTCAAGAGGAAGGACAATTTAGAGAGAATCAGTTTTTTAGAGCGTTATAAAATATTAACTAAGCGCATGAATGTATAAGCTGTGAAGGGATAATGTCTGTCCCCAGCTCAGTTTCCCTGATCTTCCTGTCTTTTTTGTTTAATCAGATTTACAGGAGGAACATGCTGAGTATCACTGAAATAGTCTGAATTTCAACTGAAATAAATTAATAAATCTTTGTTTAATAAGCCAGTTGCATGTTTTGTAAGGTTTTTTACCCTTGCCACTGATATCCATCCTTCGGCTTTCTGACCTTCAGGTGTCTGAGCTGCAGAAATATGATTATCACAAGGGGGGCTGGAGGAATGTGAGTTACAAGATAGATCTCAGGTTCAACAAGGCTGCTGCCAGTTAACCCATCGATCTACTGACTCAAAGCCTGTCTTAACTGACAGAAAACCACAGATAAGTAAGAATATCACCGCCCAGTTCGGACATACAATAATGTAATGTTTTTACGTATATATGTATGTTTTTTTTTTTACTCGCTAACTTTCTGGCTTGTAGAATAAGTTTACATTTATTTTTTAAAATTGAGAAGAAGAATATATATTTTTTTGCTTTACAAACATGTTTTGCTTGTTTTCAATCCATGGATATAGTTGAAAACATAGGTGAAGACCGTGTGACACTCAAAGAGAGTTTTGCAAGAAGAGCAATAGGCAGGGAAGTAGCCGAGAGTTTTATGGCAATAACTTGAAGGTGATGCAGAAATCGTACTTTTTGGAAGGAAGCTACAAGATGTCTAATTTTCAGATATGTGGTAGACACACAGTATATCTTTGGTAAAGGAGTTTTGGTCTCATGAAACCAAAACTGATTTTTTTTTCAACATGAAAATCACTATGTAGAACGTTATACTGCACATTACCCTGAGTACATGATTTCGAGAGTGAGATATGGTGGTGACAGCATCATGCTCTGGGGTCTATTTTCTTCTTATGGAACATAGAAGTTGATCAGACTTAAATGGGAGACAAATTTAGCTAAATATAGGAGTAAAAAAAACAAAACTGTTAGAGCTACAGTGCAACAGCCCACATTGAACCATGTTTGTTTCTTGGAATGGTCCTATCAACCCCAAAACAAAATCCTATTAGATGCTCTCAGTCCAGTCCTACTGAGATTGAGCTATTTTATAAAGTAGAAATAGCAACATTTTCAGTTTGTAGATGCCCAAAGTTGTTACCTGATGTCTCAAGCTCAATTCCCCTGCTGCCATGGCAGCGATCGGGGATGACTGTAAAATACCCGACCTGTGAGCCAGCTCCCTCTGGAGTACCACGGTTACAAGAAAGTCAGGCATAGTGTGAACTTTTTAACGATGAAGCCTGTTCTACGGAGAGCTGCAAAATGATTACCCTGGAAAATCCCAGGAGCACCACAGGGAACGGTATACTCACTATTACTTTCTACTCTGTTGACCTCAGACTTCTAGTACAAGACAGAGTGCTGTCATCAGCAGGTCAACTGTTGGTGCTGTGTGTGTTACAGTGTTACAGAACACTTACACACAAAGTTTGTTTTTTTACATGTGCACAGTTCATACATGAAGCCCCTGGTTCTCAAAGAAACCTGCTCTGAATGTTTTGGATGTTTTCCTGCTACGGTAAACCTGGCTTCAATAAACAGGCCTTTTTGAGTTGCTATTATCAAACCAAATATGTGAAAACAGGAAACATCTTGAACATGAGGCCCACTATGCTTTGACAATCAGTTATATTTGTTTGGGTGTGCCATCACTCGTTCCTGGCCTCATCCTCAGCCAGTCTTAACCCATGACAGCAGCGTAATGAACATATTTTAAAACTGTTGATTACAACAAAAAAACTATTTTTTTCCCTCTTTTTAATATTTCCCTATAAAGGTATAGTGGAGTACTTTTGCAAATTTTTGAAAAAAACTTGCCCTTTCTACTTTAAAAAAAGAAGAAATCACATGCATAACCCAGTACCCACTCCCGAGAGGGAACGCCTGTTAAACACGTGCGACAAGCCCATTTCTCCTTGTGCATGGTATGTTTAAAAGATGCTGTTCGCATCACTCAT